ATAGGGGGATCAACAGAAAGAACTACTGTACCTCCCTCCTTCAACACTTTGATCACAAGCTAAGTGGCTGGGATAAAAACCTACTCAACCAGAGTGGAAGAGTGATTCTTATCAAACATGTACTTAGCTCCATTCCCATACACACCCTGGGCTCGACACAACTCCCTAAGAGCATCATTAATACCCTACACATGAAGATGTCCAACTTCCTATGGGGGGAAGTACCCAAAATGATCACAAACATCATTGGATGGAATGGGAAAAGGTTTGCTACCCTAAGGAGGAAGGAGGCCTAGGAATCACATCTCTAACCACTTTGCAAGAAGCTTATGGACTCAAGATTTGGTGGAGATACACACAAAATGAATCCTTATGGGCTACATACATGAGACACAGATACCCCAGGGGTCTAAACACTCCCCCTAAAATCATTGACTCCCCCACTTGGAGAAGAATCTGTGTCATCAATGATAAGGCTCCACTCACGCTGGAGATAACAAATGAAAACAGAGTCAAATGGAAAACAGGGGAGATGGATTTTAGTATCAAACTTGCCACCAAAAACCTGAGACCCCATAACCCTCCTATACCAGCAATGTCCTATATATGGAACCCCTCTCAACTACCCAAGATCTCAACTTTCCTTTGGAAACTTTACCACAGCCTTCTACCGTACCCCCAAAAACTAACAATGATGGGATTTAACCTTCCATCTATCTGTTTTTTGTGCAGGTCTAGTGAAGACTCAACTTGGCATTCACTTCACGAATGCAACTTCAGCAAGGAGATTTGGAATCATTTTGAGGAACTATTTGGAATCCACAGAAGTGTAAACCACGGCATACGCAGCTTTCTACTAAATTGGTGGAACCAAATTAACAAAAACGCAAAAGATTACCACCTTAAAGTTGTGTTACCTGGTTTCATAACCCACGCTATCTGGAAAGAAAGAAACCTTCGCATCTACAATGAGGAAACACAGACACCTGCCCAAATCATCCACCAAATTACTCGGCAGATATACGAATACAGTGCAATCAATGGGAAAGGAAGGCAAAGATACCTGCAGCTCTCAATTCCAACCATCAAAATGGGCGCAATCCAAACTTTCAAATTGAATTTTCCAGCGCAAGGCCTTTGCGTCACCACTGATATTGCAATCTCACAGAATCGAATGGCAGCGGCTGCAATCATCAGGCTAAAAACGGGAAAGTTTCTAGCGGCTTGGACACAGAATTGGGAGGGAGAAAATGAACCTGAAGCAGGAGAGATTAAGGCAGCAGCTCTAGGCGTCAAACGTGCTTACTTCCTAAGTCAATCGATCAACCTTTTCATGGACTCAAAGAATGGGGTGAAGAAAATTCAAGAGGCACCCAACGCATACTACAAAGAAATCAAAGATGCAATTCAAAATTCTGGAGGAAAAATAAACCACATATACCGGGAAGCAAATTCGGCGGCACACAATCTAGCAAAATTTTCTTTAAACAGTAATTTTAGTGCTTTTTACTCTCATTTCGAGCAACTCCCTAAAAAGGTCAAAGGAGCTCTTCTCTGTGATGTAGCCTCTACTTACTTCCGCATCAAATAAATGAATAAAGTTTCTCCAAATATATATGTATATATATGTATATATATATGTATATATATATATATATATGTGTGTGTGTGTGTGTATATATATATATGTGTGTGTGTGTGTGTGTGTGTATATATATGTATATATATATGTATATATATATATATATGTGTGTGTGTGTGTGTGTGTATATATATATATATGTATATATATGTATATATATATGTATATGTATATATATATATGTATAAA